CTCATTTTGACATCTCACATGTTTGACAGATATGGTCGCCAAACCATATCCTAATGAGGACACAGATGGATATGGATTTGGTCTACTAATTTCGCCGGCGGTTGGCGACAAAACTGCGACATCTCGCAACCAAATTGTTTGCTGGGTATATATATATATATACATGTAAAACACTTACTTGTAAAAATGTACAAGTAGAATTTGTTACATGTATATATACATATATATGTACACGCACAGTTTCCGCACAAACATCCTGCGAATGGCTCGTAAGGCCTTATATATTTCTTGTTGACAATTTCAACGAGCCTTAAGTCTTAATTGTTTATGAATAGAGCTATTTTCATGATGTTTTATTTTTGGATTACGTTTCCACTATTGTCGAAAGCCATCTTTTGCAAAAACGCTTTTTACGTGTTTTGAATCTTTGGAAGCAAATAGCCGACAGCAAAAGCAGTATAAAGATTCATCAACTATAGAGTGTACCATCCATGTTCTAAGCATTTTTTCACCATTATCAAGTTGTCGATAAAACCACGCACTAGACATAGTTCTTATTTGACCTTTAGTTTCTGTACCATTTCTTATCGCTGGAGCAAAAGGTCCTTCCTTATTTTGAATTGAGCCTTTTGCAACTAATTCTGTAATTACTGCATCGTTTAAAGATATTGGCCACGAGCTTATATCGTTTAAACTAAAGGAATTTAATTCATTTTTATTTTGTTGTGTAGCAATTCTTTCTTGACAGTCGTTATGACTTTTCGGTGTTTTATTTATTACTATCATTTCAGTCTCCTGATTTCCGATTTTTGTAATATTCGATCTTTTAGTAAGTTCAAGCTGTTCACTTTCAATATAAATATCATCTGTCTCCGCGTTGCTGGTTTCATTATACAAAGAAATCGGCTTTTGTTCTTCTTCCAAATACTTTAAAAAAGAACCAGTTTGCTTTTGCTTTTCTCTATCTTTGTCTGCCTTTCGTTTTCTAAATTCAGCACCTGAAGGTTTCTTGCTCATTTTAACTGTAATTTATTTATTTATCTTGAAAACATCAGGCAAGAGATAATTTAGACATAATTTTGCAAATTCTCTTAACTTAAACTATCTGTTACAATATAAACAGCAAAATAAATATTTATATCTCGAGTTTTTGATTTGAGGAAAAGTTTGCGCAACTTTTGTCACAAATAGAAACCTTCATCAATAATAATATTCTTTATATGTGTGTAATAAAGAAATAAAAACCTTATATTTAAAAAATAGCGTTTGAGATTTTTGTTTTTCTTGTATTTTTCTTTGGAAATGATAAGCGTTTTAGTTTTAAATACTTACCAGTTTACTCTTTACACGGATCTATAACGAGAGCCCCCTCTACGTCTCGATCAAGTACAATACAGTGCGGAGCACCATATCGTGCGCCGTGAGGAGAAGTAGTTCTCCTCCGGCCGCCTCCTACTATCACGCGCCAGCGGCCCGAGATTTAATCCATATATCAGCACAGTTATCGATGATACATACCGACGCGGTTACCAATAATACCGACAGGCATATGTTATCAGAAAACTATCGTGAACATTGAAAAGAGTAACTCTGCATTAAAAGTGACTTCAATAATTTATATCAAATAGTTAGTTATTTAATTAGTACTTATTAATTTAATTATTATTTATTTAGTTAATTATTATATAAGAAACTTACTTACGGTAAATGTAAGAAAGTAAAAGATATTTAAGTAAGAGAATAAAAATCCATGACAATAGATAAATGTCATAGTAATTATTAAAATATTTTTAAACATTATTTAAATATTAAGAATAAAAAATAAAACATTATATGAGATTTGTATAAAAAACATCGATATGAAATGCGTTATACTCAGAGGAAACGTCAAGAGTAGGTTCATTATTTTGTTCATTTAGATTATACCAGTAGTGCTGAAGATTGTTGCCATTTAAGTTATCGTATCAAATAAAGAGAGTAGTGCGTAACAGTCTGTAAAGTAAAAGTTAGTTAAATTAATCTCAAGATCTTTTTCTTTATTCTAATGCTTTTTTTATTCTAATATTAAATTTTTCAAATTCTTAAATTGCAATAATAAACAATTATGGTAAAGTTTAAACTTTACGTTTACTTTTTTCTGTCTATTTTTTGTTGTGTTAATATATTAATGTATTGTATTTGCGATAAAATATGACCATTACTGTATACACATTTTATGCTTTAATATTACAATAATTATTTATTATTGCAATTTAAGAATTTGACAAATTTGATATTAGAATAAAGAAAGCATCAGAATAAAGAAAGAGATCTTGAGATTAATTTAACTAACTTTTATTGTACAGACTGTTACGCACTACTCTGTATTTAATACAGTTTTAGCAAAGGCAGTACACATGTTGGCAAAGATTGAAGATGAATTATACGTGAATCCACACCAAAAAGCTATTTTCTTCCAGATGGTTAACATGACAAATTCAGCATATTCTAACTTTACATTCCATAAAAGTTTCTTTTCTTATTACACTCGGAGATCTTGAAGAAAAAGAGGCACAAAAGTGTATAATTTTCACAAGAATAATAATATATAGTCTATTATCTCTAATAAGATATTATTGAGACATTCATCAATTATTTTTTAATTTTTACAGAGCGCCATGACTATCTTTAATCTGCTAATACATTAGACAAACAAGTGGAAACTTGTTATATCTGTTTGGAAGTAGATACTTGCAATTTGGTATTCATTTTAAAATACAAAAATGGTATCAACAAGTCTTACTTGACACCTATCTTAGATTGAGAAGTTGCAAGTACAAAAACACATTTTTTTTAATTGTTAATTGGCTTGTCAAACTATTTTAATAGAAAAAGTCTAGTTAAGTTTTTTAATAAAGTTAATCCTGTTCACATAGAATTCAAGTGTTTTATTTAAAAAATTTGACAATTATGAACTTTTCAGTCTTTATCAAAAAGCTTTGCTTAAGAATTTTATTTATATATCTTATTTATTTAATTTATTTATTTGCTTCAAAATTTTATTTATTTGAATGTCAACTATTTTATAACAAAAATTTATACATTAAGCATCATATTTCAAGGCTGAAATGCACAATGAATTAGCATCAAAAGCTCGAGTGTTGGTTAAGAGGGTACTGGAGCGAGATCCGAAGTCCGCACTGGGGTCTCTGCCCGGGAAGTGGCGCCCTCAAGTGGTTGAGTTAGTCTGTCCTTCTTTTAAAGTGAGACGGCCTAATCGCGCTGTCTCGCGTCACCGGTCTTTCGTCGCAAGGCTCGAGCCGGCCAGCACCGAAAAC